TCAATGTTGTACATTGTACATGTACTTGCGCTAGCTAAGGTACGCGATCGGTGACCCCATCGGGAGCTGCTCCTCCACCTTCCCTGTCGACTACGTGGTCCACCCTCCATCTTATTCACCAACCGTTGATGACTGATGCTTTGTTTTTGATCAAAAAGTAATCTTATCCTACGGTGAAGAATTGGAGTTAATGTGCACGTGACAGAGATGTAAATAAGTTTGGACCCCACGAGAAAACCTCACTGGAAGTGACTTAGTTTGCAACTCTCGAGGTGTCCCTGTCTCTCTTTCTCTCTCTCTCTCTCTCTCTCTCTCTCTTGCAAGACTCTTCAAGTTGGGTGGTACTGCAAAGAGAAAAAAGGAAGTTTAAGCCAACACAGTGCGCACCAATCTCCACTGTCTATGGAGATCACACAAACACCTTTCTTTCTTTAGACTTGCTCTCTTATCTATCCATTGCTAAAGCTTATATTAAAGAAAAAAAATATGTTCTTNTATGCAATAGGACAATTTTCTTGATTTCATATTGAATTTCCACTGTAGGAACCACTTTAGATCTTGATTGGCAAATAGTTTAGTTTGAATTTGACCTTATATATTTCTAGCAGAGTCATTGTCACCGGCTTTAATTGACTTTTGTATGAAAAACTTGTGTAGTTGTATAATGTATATCTATTCCAACAAGGATAGTTTATGTTCAGTAAATGCTACAGATTTGGTTATATTTTACAGTTGTTTCGTTTTAAAGATTGGATCAACATTAACTATTTTAATAAATTGTTGACCCATGGAAAATGTATAGCTAAACCCATTCACGTAGCGATAAAAATGTTTACTCTCTTCTTTGAATTTTTTGATTTAAATATTGTGATCATCTATCACAATAATATTGTAACTTATTTTGGATTTGTAAAATATTTAATAGATTTCGAAAATTAGTTAAAAGTATATTCAAATTAGTTTGGACATCCTAGTTAACCAAAAAAAAAAAAAGCATGGCTAATATTTGATTTTGCATGGAAGCTTAGATTAAGAACCAATTAAGAAGGCAGAAAACTATAGACAAAAGCATCATCATCGATAGCTTTTACAATAAATAGACCACTTTGGGGTTTCATTACACTAACTACCTAAACCAGATATCATAATCACAACAATGATTATGAAAATCTATTTATGTTGGAACTTTATTAGCAATCACTAAGCACTAATCACATTTGAGTTAATCACCAAAAACCCCACCTTTCAATGTTGTACATTGTACATGTACTTGCGCTAGCTAAGGTACGCGATCGGTGACCCCATCGGGAGCTGCTCCTCCACCTTCCCTGTCGACTACGTGGTCCACCCTCCATCTTATTCACCAACCGTTGATGACTGATGCTTTGTTTTTGATCAAAAAGTAATCTTATCCTACGGTGAAGAATTGGAGTTAATGTGCACGTGACAGAGATGTAAATAAGTTTGGACCCCACGAGAAAACCTCACTGGAAGTGACTTAGTTTGCAACTCTCGAGGTGTCCCTGTCTCTCTTTCTCTCTCTCTCTCTCTCTCTCTCTCTCTTGCAAGACTCTTCAAGTTGGGTGGTACTGCAAAGAGAAAAAAGGAAGTTTAAGCCAACACAGTGCGCACCAATCTCCACTGTCTATGGAGATCACACAAACACCTTTCTTTCTTTAGACTTGCTCTCTTATCTATCCATTGCTAAAGCTTATATTAAAGAAAAAAAATATGTTCTTTCTTTTCTCTCTTTGCAAAGCCACTCGAAAGTTAGAACCAAACTTACCCATTTAAAGAATAGTGACAAGTATTTTGCAAGTTGTAAGCTTTTGAATCAAAGGTCGTATTTTTACTTGGAATCTTTGTGGACAAATGTTAAGACCCTTTTGAAGGGAAGTTGAGTTGGTAGTTTGGGTAGTGTGAATCTTTAACGATGGATCCGCCAGCAATGATGAATGAGGGTTCGTACAACTTTGCAGAGATCTGGCCATTTCAGGTTCATGGAAGTGGTAATGCGAACGAATCTGGAGGTGCGTTGGGACTGAGGGGAGTTCAGTATGGGCAGAATTTAAGTCAATTTGTGACTAATCGAGAAATTTCTGGTGATGATCCGGTGAGTTTGGAGCGTAAAGTAGCTCATGGGAATGGTTCAAGGAAGCGGTGTGAGGTAGAGGATGAGTCAGCCAAGGTTGTATCAACAAGCAGTGGCAATGGCAATGGAGTGGTATATTAATTTATTTGTTCGTTTGATTGTTTATTCATTTTCTAATGTTATTTTGATGTTAATTTGGATGGTTGGTTCTTATAATCTAAATTCTTATTAAGTGGAATTTTCTTTTATCTTGTTACATGATACAGAATCTGCAGGGGAATGTTGAGCTAGCTTAATAATAAATAAATGATTATTAGAATTGGTCTGGAATGGCCAACGGAGTCACTTGATTTGTGCCTCTACTTCGTCTAATTTTCTGATTTATGGTATTTATATAGGGTTGGTATATAGAAATTTGATAGTGAAATTATGATGGTTACATGGCAAATTCTTATGTTTCAGAATGATTCTGATGGAAAACGGATTAAAACATCTGGAAATAGAGATGACAATCAGAATTCAAAAACTAATGCCGAACCCAGTTCAGGCAAGCCTGTGGAACAAAATGGTCAACCAGCAGAGCCACCTAAACAAGATTATATCCACGTTCGAGCAAGAAGGGGCCAAGCTACTGATAGCCATAGTCTAGCAGAAAGAGTAATTTTCTCAATCCTATTAAACTCAATTGTATTCCAAACCCATGACAAAACTTTGTGTTTGAATAAAAAGTTATAGTGCTATTGAATGTGTTTTCACTATTTGAACCATTTGATTGATAGGCTAGAAGAGAAAAGATAAGTGAAAGGATGAGAATTCTACAGGATCTGGTCCCTGGTTGTAACAAGGTAAGCATTTGATTGTTCATAAAGTTTGGTAGTCAAGTATGCGCAGTTTGTGCAGTTATATTTTGCGTTAGATCAACTGCATATAGTTCTACTCCCATCTTCACTTCTTGATTAATGGATTACTAGACTGACATAGTTGGCACTCATTAGCATATGTCATAAACTAGTAGCGTTAAGATTTCTCTGCAGTTTCTGTGTAGCATGGTTTGTTTACACAACTGTTTTTTAAGAAAGTTTTTCGAATACAGGTTATTGGCAAAGCATTGGTCCTTGATGAGATAATTAATTACATCCAGTCGCTACAGCGGCAGGTTGAGGTGTGAAATCCTTACTTCTGAATATGGCTTTACATTTTGATTGGATATTTTTTCTATTGGTTTTGAACTTGAGCCAAACCAATTTACTGGAAATTGCAGTTTCTGTCAATGAAGCTTGAAGCAGTCAATTCGAGAGTGACCCCTGGTATTGAGGTATTTCCTCCTAAAGATGTAAGTCCTAATGTTTTGAATCCTTGTTGGAGCCAGTTCTGGTTTACATGCTATTTGTACTGCACTTCCTTTTTAACCTTACAAGGATGGTTCATATTATATTAGAACACATACCACAAACCTCTTAACATCTGTATCATCCTGCTCATTTGATGGATGGACTTCTGTGAGAGTCCTAAATTAAAGTAATGAAGTATACTTCAGAAACAATCTCAGTATGAATTCATTATAGGAGATGGGAGATTTGTTATGTTCTTAGTAAGAAAAACTATGCATGATAACGTGTTTTAACAAGGTGAGCTGTATTTGGATTGCAATAATGTCTGTTGAAATACCGGGACCACAATTTTATTCTCTTGAACCTTATTTAGATTCCTACACCCACCTTCCATGGCTATTATTTCTGCTTCTCTGCATACACATGACTTCTTGCCTTCAATTTAATGGTTTCATTTTCCAATTGGTAGTTGGGATAATAAACTAACTGTTTACTTTTTTGATGAATCGTGTTTCTGGGGAAGGTTTTGTGTACCGAATATATGTATCTTATTCTTTAATTTTTTTTCCCCCTTTTTCCGTTAAGGATTAAAGCAGCAAAGACAAAATATATATTTGCATTTCTACATGAATTTCACCCGGATGGATCTGATGAGCTTGTTTCCTTATTCTTTTGCTAGTTTGGAAATTCTTTAGGATCTTTTCATTGTTTTTTTCCACTTAAATGAGATACTACTAAATTTTTGTAAAGCATTTTTTTATGTTGATCACTTATTTATCATATAGTTACGTTTGTTGTGGATGATTATATTTCTTATGGCTAATGGTTTTTTTAACAAACCAATTTGGCTTTTCAGTTTGGTCAACAAGAATTTGATACTGCTGGCATTCCATTTGGTTCTCAAGCTTCAAGGGATTTCGACCGTGGTACATCACCAGAGTGGTTGCACATGCAGGTTGGCGGTTTTGAAAGAATGACTTAGAAAAAAAAAAAAAAAAAAAATTCCTCATCAATTAATAATAAAAGCATTAGATGGCAGCGCATCCTCCTTCAGTTGCTGTTAAAAATTATACACCATTATACTAAATCAAGAGAATTCAAATCCCAGTTTCAACATCAAGCATGGAGCACATGATTGATGCCTAAAGTCTTCTCAGGTTAGTAAAGAAAGTTAATATCTCGACATCTTCATTTGTTTGTGTGTTGGAAGCTGAATTCTTTACTCCATATATCTCATACTAGGCTTTAAGTTGTACCAATACCTGAACAGAATTTCGGAGAACAATCATTGTCTTGTAAAAGAATGTTTGCATATTCAGAATGTCTGATGCTTACATTAAATTTTAACATTGGGTTTGTTATGAAGCTGAAGGTGTATCAATAAATTAGCCATTTTGGTGCTATGTTTTCTGGAATTTTTCTTGGAGTCGACAATGTTTACGTTCTCCTTCGTATAGTGTTTAGTATGGACTATGCTTGAACTTCAATAGTACTTTGATCATTTTTATGTAATAACTTGCAATATGTGATAATCATGGTCATTTTGAATATGAATAAAATATAATTGAGTTGCTTCATTTTTGCATAAACGTTAACAAGGTGCTGACCCATTTTTGTAGCAATTCCTCAGTATTCGTCTGTTTCAGTTATCTACATTCCCAGGGATAGAATAGTCACGCACATTCTGTCATAACATCAATTCAATATTGAGCTATAATGCAGTTTGATCAAACATTATAATTGCTTCTCACGAATTTGAATCAACAATCCCATATTCAGTTCTTTTCGGAACAATCACGTGGTACTCTGAAGAAATCTAGAAGAGCTAGCGCTCTAATTAATATAAGAACTGTGTTAATAGTTGGCTATGTGGCACGAAAGGAGTTTCCACCCTGGTTAAAACCGCTTCCATTTGACTGAAGATAGGAACTGGCTGCCCAGACAACACGTAAGAGAAGGATCCCCACAAAAACAGTGGCTCCAAGTGTGCAGACTACCTGTAGAAACATTGGCACGTCTCCTGTTAGAACCAAATTTTGCTGCTAAAAGAAAAACTTACAAATAATTGTATCCGGGGAACTAGTGTCCACTGTCAAGTCTACAAGCTCGAAAATGGATTTTGCAATCAAGTTACGATTCTCTCAAAAGCATACACAATATTAATAGTGTACGTGATAGGGTTTAGGATAAGATCTGTTTATAAATGGAAGAGAGACCTCCAAGAACAAGAGACAAAGATATTAATTGACAAAATTCTTCATTGATAATCACAATCTAGATTTATGCTATTATATAGTCTTATACTTCGACTCCTAAAAGAACTCTAATTAACTAATTAAAATCTAATAAGATATTCTATCGTAATTATAAAATGATAATAAGATAATCTTAGTTCTATCTTAATAAGATAATAGCATAATTATCAAAGATAATTGTAAAAGTCTTAACATAATTATAAAAGATAATAATAAAATACTTAACATAATAATCCTAATTCTAAAATGATCCTAACATTGCCTTCCCTTTTGGTTCAACCTTGTCCTCAAGGTTGCAAGATATTGCACCATAAGAAATCATAGGCGCAAATGAGTTCCAAGGCAATAAAGAGACGACGAAAGTTCCACCACCGGGGTCAAAAATCAGCACGGTAAAGAAGTCGCTTGTTCCTTTGTTGTGAGCCAACACGATGCTAGGTAGTGACATCAGAGAGAGATCAGAACGCATGGGAGGCTTGGTGAAGGCTGGCAATAGTGGTAGAGGATTGTTGTTATTATGACCCAGAGGGACCAAGGGAAGGTCAACAGTAGACTAGTGGTCAGCGACAATTGCGACATAATCAGCAAAATGCTTGGTGGGGCCCACTTGGGAAATGACCTTCAGTTCCGATGAGAAGGTCATGAGTTGCGGATCCACGCCATCAAAGTGGGGCACCTCTAATCGGAAAGGCTTAAAAGGTGGCGTAGAACTAGAAGAATGCGAACTTGGGTTGGGCGGGAGAGTGCCATTGCCACTCGCATCACTGTACCCCATGAGCTCTTTTTTTTGTCGTCATTGTTCTAGCTTGGCATTAGTGGCAGTTAGTTTTAGTGTAATAGTCGTCAAAAGACTCTCTAGGGAATCAAGTTTGGCCTCTTGAGGCTCCAGTCTGGCCCTATGTTGAGAGACAAGTTCTTCCAAAGCCAAGAAGTGTCTGCTATGGAAAGGGAACGAGAGCACCAATGATAGGGTTTAGGATAAGATCTGTTTATATGAGGAACAGAGACCTCCAAGAACAAGAGACGAAGAGATTAATTGACAATATTCTTAATCACGATCTAGATTTATGCTATTATATAGCCTTACACTTGACTCTAAATGACTCCTAAAAAACTTTAATTACCTAATTAAAATCTAATAAGATATTCTATCATAATTATAAAATGATAATAAGATAATCCTAATTCTATCCTAACAAGATAACAGCATAATTATCAAAGATAATTATAAAAGACTTAACATAATTATAAAAGATAATAATAAAAGACTTCACATAATTATCCTAATTCTAAAATAATCCTTACAGTACTACTTGAAACAGTGAAGGCATTAGAACTAGTCTAGAATTGGCAATGACAAAGCTAAATACCTCAAGAAGCGCTTTGAGGATGGAAAGTATAGCTAAGAGTAAAATCCCATCAACAGCAAAAGACACCTGCATAGTGCATACCCCATCAGAAAATAAAAAATCAAGAGTCAAATAAGGAGCAACTTTCAGGCTGCTACAACTAAACAACTAACACAATAACCTTGTCACAAAAAATCCAGCCTCATTAACATGTGAGTAAACAGTAAACTAATTGTACTGAAATTAGCAATAAACATCTCCGATTCCTCATAGAAAGCCTCCCTACAAACAACTTACCAGAAATTAATTCTAAGAAGGCAATCCAGGGTGCTTTTTTTTTTTTTTTTTTTTTTTTTTTTTTTTTTTTTAAATTTTCAGTGTCAGGGTCGATATAGCATTTACAAATTCAATGGCGTTAAAAATAATGTGAAAGGTGAGAAATTTATACCAGCTGGGAAGATATACCGGTGGGCAAGATGGAAAGAGAGGCTTTCTTGGCCCGCTTTGAGAGTTTCTTGAACATGGTTTGTAAGAATCTGATCAACAAATCAACACTGCTCTCGGTGTCATCTTCATCATCAATAGTAATGTCATCATCCACCATTAAATCGTCGAAAATAGCTTCATCATCGATGTCATGAGCCTCTCCAACAGCTGAACCATCCAACTGATGATGACAACATGTGCAATGTTAGAAGTGCACTAAGCCAGTTTACTATCAATAAATGAGAAGATAAAACTTAAAAGGACGGAGACCTGGCCATGGCAAATAATGGAGAGTCTGAGGATTTTATGGTAATTGTGGAAGGGGAGATTTAGTGGAGGCGGGAGTGAAGAGTGACGAAGCTTGCAAGGTGGACGAGCGATGACGCATGGTGGTGATAAGGTTGTGGCTCTTGCCATTTTCCAAAACCAGAACTCAGCTGGATTATCTATTTTTAATTGGGAAATTTGTAAATATTGTTATATTGAATTAAATTGTACCCATTTAATCATAATTAATTAAATTATAAACCATTTTTAACAATTCTTTAAAAAAGACTAACCGTTAAGTTTTTAATAAAATAATATCCTTTTAAGTATAACTAAATAATAAAAAACCTTCTCATAATTATAGTAACAATAGAAATCTCAATATTATTAAGTTTTTTATGTTAAAATAAACAGGATAAAAACAATTGGGAAATTTTTATTTAATTCATCTTATTATAAATTCTAATCGTAATAAATGATTTATATTATTTCTAAAATCTCAAGAAGAACTTTGTTGTTTTATTAAACTTTAGAGGTTGAGAAAAATCCTTTCATGCTTTTATTATGTGAACCTCACTAATGAACTAAAAAAAATAAAAAATAAAAAATCTATTTCTTAAAACACTCCATAAAGAGTGTCAAAAATATTTATAAAGATTATGAAATTAAAATTAATTTTAATAATTTAATATAGGAATAATTTTATTATTATTAAAAATATTAAAAAGTGAAGCTTATTTAGTAAATTAATCAGTAACGAGGTGTTCTACTCCAATTATTGTGGTTGGATAAATAAACAAGGCTCATAGGGCCAAAAGTCCAAAACTAAAAGCCCCAGGAGATTTGGATTAAAAATGGATAACTTTCCGTGAGAAAAAAAAGGGAGTAGTGTTCTTTAGCATTTAACCCCATCAACTTAAAAGAGATCAAGATATAATACAGTATCTTAATCTATTATTCACCTGTTGCAAATACGGCAGCCTCTTTGTGGAAGTCTTAATTGAAAAGCAATGTCATAACCAGCACGTGTCTTACAATTTTGCGATACTTTTGGGGATTACGCTTTTTTATTTTAATAGCTTTTCATTTTTTCTATTATCTCTAATAAATATGTTACTAATCCTATTATTTATCAATTTATGCCATGATTTTAACATCAATAAGTTAATATTACTAATATCTATATAGGACTTGGTAACCATAACGTATTTAGACGTGGTACAAGTTGAATAAAAAATTCCGAAAACATTAAGATGCATTTGAGGGTATTTTTAAGAATATAACTAAAATTTTCCAATACCAAAGCTAATTATTGAACAATTGTAGAGTAAAAATAAATGATTATAAAATAACCACTTAATTAATATTGTTGTATCCTTTCGGGATCACTTTGCACCCTAAAATTTCTCTGAAAACAAGAAACCTCTTATTATACATTTCTCATACAATATTATATGAAAAAATATGATTGGTTAATTTTAAATTAAAAATAAACATTCATTCAATCATCTTTTGTCACATAATATTGTATAAAAATGTTGTATATGTAGTATTATACTAACAGTAAACCCCAAATCGCTTTAGTGTTTTTTCATTAACCTTAAGAGTAGGGAGAATAAAATTATAAATTATCTTTTATATTATCAATAATTAATAGAATTTCCAAAAAATTATGGAAAATGAAAATAATAATAATTTTAACCTAGTAGAGCCACCTCAAAACTTCACCTCTTCCAACCTCCAAAGTAGTTATCTTTACAACAATCTCACCACAAATAAAAACATATTAATTAAATTAAAACCCATCATATAAAAATTGAAAAGGCCTATCATTTCAATCACAACCCATTAACCAAACCCAATTATTATTGTAACAATCCTAATTAAGTCTCATATGGCTAAAGGATGGTTAATAACCAAGCAAGCACCCTCCCTTTACAAGTTAGTTTTAAGGGTGAGGTTTTATCTATTATGGTGTTACAATTAATATCAGAGTAGAATCGTCCTTGAGGAAACCTTACAAGATTAACACCCACTTGGGACCATATGGACACCCTTCCCAAGCCGATTTGAGGGTGAGTTATACTCATGTGTGATGTTACAATTATCTGGAGTGCTTAATTTTTTTTTTATCTGGATTTGTTAATAAATTTAATTGTCGTGTTTTTGGAGCAAGTGGTGTTGAAATGAATGTTGGTGGATGAAATGAAGGGTGGAGTTAATAGGATTCGCGAGGAAAAGGGTTTGGTAAGGCAATAGGGGAAAGATGAAATGAAGGGTGGAGTTATACTATGTGTGATTGTTACAATTATCTGGAGTGCTTAATTTTTTTTATCTGGATTTTGTTAATAAATTTATACTGTCGTGTTTTTGGAGCAAGTGGTGTTGAAATGAATGTTGGTGGATGAAATGAAGGGTGGAGTTAATAGGATTGCGAGGAAAATGGGTTTGGTAAGGCAATAGGGGAAAGTGGGATGGGGTTGGGTGCAATGGTAAGTTGTAGGCTCTTGGGTTCGTGACAGTGTGATGGTGGAGTGGAAGTAGTGGGCTAGGGGGGAAGGGGGCTAGAGTTTGCTGCTATGACAATTTGGGGTTGGAAGGAAATAAGATGTGGGATGGGAAGGTGAAAGGACTGCTACATAGAGAGAAAAAGGAGGTGGGGTTGTTAGTAGGATGGGCATGGGCGTGGCATGGGCCGGGTTGGCGCCAAGGACCCTTGTTATGAGCCCGCCTGAGGGCCCAAAATTAGAGAATGAGAACATTAAGGTCAATGGTATATATATTTGGACCGCAGTCGGGACGTGACCACCTCCGTCCTCGGCCCGTCCTAGAGTCTAGGGAGCCATTGGGCTCGAGCTCGTCTCGATCCCAATTAATTCGGGAAACTTCAAAAATGCCCATCCCTAATTGTTAGGCAGGGAAAGTGCCAGACATTAGGAAGAGAACATTAAGGGTTTCACAATTAGAGTTAAGATTTATCTCTATGGGGGCGTTTGGTTCAGGAATGTAGATTACTGGGAATATTGGATTACTGGAAAGAATAGTACCTTGGAAGATTACTGGAAATCTTAAGAAAATATGTTTGGTTGTTGGTGGGTATGTTATATTAATATGTTTTGGTTATGGGAATAAATGGGGGTATGTTATTTAAATTACTAAATTGACCCTCTTTTAAATATTAATATAATATTATTTTTATTATTAATTTTTGAATTATTTTTTAACCCCCAATATTTCAGATTTAGCTAAAACACCCCCGCTTATAAAAAAACTTTAATTCATGACGAAATCACCCCACCTCCTGCCGCCACCGCGAACAAACGCCGGAAAATCGCCGGAGCCCCCAAAAACACTGGAAATTCTGTGGGAGGCTCGGGAGGCTTCGATATGGCCGTTTTTGGCCATATTGATGGCCGAAAAGGCCATATCGGGCAGATGGCCGGAATAGATCTGGCCGCTAACGGCCAGATCGGTGGCCGTTAACGGCCAGGTCTGGTCCAGACCTGGCCGATAATGGCCACCGATCTGGCCGTTAGCGGCCAGATCTATTCGGAGATCTGGCCCGTATGGCCGTTTTCGGCCATCAATATGGCAAAAACGGCCATATCGAAGCCTCCCGGAGCTCCCACAGAATTTCCAGTGTTTTTGGGGCTCGGCGTTTTCGGCGGTTGTTCGCGGTGCGGCAGGGGGGCGGTGGTGGTGGCTGGGTGGCCGTTGGTGGTGGCTTGGTGGCAGTGGTGGTCTGTAAATTCTTTTAAATTAAGGGCATTATTGTCCAAATTTTAATTAAACAAGGGTAAAATTGAAAGGATATTAATGTAAATTTGTTTTAAAGTAGGGGTATTATTGGTCCAAAATTTTATTAATAAGGGATAAAAATGTAACAAAAAAAGATAACCCTGGTAATCTCAGAAAACCTAGATGGAGGTAATCAGATTACCTCTTATATTACCAATAGAACCAATTGGTATTTGAAGATTACTGGTATCTTATATTACTTGACAACCAAACGTGGTAATCAAGTAATATAAGATGAATTACCCCAGTAATGTCACTTAACCCCGAACAAACTGACCCTATGAGTATGATATAATAACAATTCTTTTTTTAAAGCTTTTAAAATAATAGAAACCCCCGTCATTAAGTTTTAGGTGTGAAAATAAATGTTAGGGAGTAATTTGATAATATTTATAAGTTATAACATGTAAATTTTAACGGCTTACTAACAGTTCATTGACAGTAGGGGGATATCTGTTATTTTGGAAACTTTAGGGGGATTTGGGTATTATCATTTCTCAGGGGGTTAATAACTCTTAAGGGATTATAAGTTTTAGGAAAAATTGGGGGGTTTATGATAATCCCTTCAACATACAACGGTTTTCTAACAGAAAATGTTGGTTGAATAATTGGTGGATGCGGCAACAATATGATTATTATCCGAAAAAGTTTCAGTCATGATGTAACAAGTTCTCAGGCAGCAAGCAAACAATATAACCCTGAAAGGAAATTTCCCCGAAACGACGCCGTGATGCTGTTCCTTCAGGAACAAATACTCTGTTCTTTTAACCACCCCCGTTGACCTTTTAAATTCCACGCGCCTACCTCCACCTTGTGCTTGGTGAGATCGACCCAATCACAAAGTGGTGGGTCCCAGAGAACTCGAAGACGCGCTGGTGTGCGACTTGGGTGAAAAGTAAATTCCAATTAGCAGTTACGAGGCAAAATAACGCGCTTATTAATTTTTATTTGATTAAAATAAAAACCAAACCGAAACAACAAAATATAAATAGAACTGAAAAGCAAAATAAAAAAAAACGGGCGCAAGTAACTGCCAATTATTAAAAAAAAAAAAGAAAAAAGGAAAAGAAGGCAAAGAACAAGAAGCCAGATCATCTTTGTCCGTTGGTCAGGGCAAGGAGCCAAGGAGGCTGTCTAATCAACGAACCTTAATTGAATCGAGAGGAGACGAGTAACAGAGTCGATCCAATTGAGCATTGTTTGGCGATCGACTTTGGGTTGGGAGTTGTGAGTTTTTTACTTTTGGGGTTTGGATCGAGAAGAAGATGAACGGATGGGATAGGGTTAGGTCGTCTAGCTCGAGATTGGGCCAATCATCGAACGGTCACCAGCGCATGCCATCACGTACAGTTACATTGGGCCGAGTCCAGCCGCAGGCACCTGGTAACCGAAATATACACTGTAATGACCGGGAAGCAAATCAACCTTTCCGATTCAAGGTTTATCTCTTTCTTTCTTTATTTTCTTTTCGTATATATTTATCAATAATATGCATAAAAAAGGTAACTGAAATGTTTATTCGTTTCTTGATGATCCAAGAAATGAGGAACTTCACTGAACTTAGTAAAATACGAACCCATGAAATTGAGTTTTAGTGTTTGGTTTCATGGCTGCTAAGTAGACATGCACGCAGCGGTGAAGCAAAGTTGAAATTAGAATCATCAGAGCATAAACTTTAATCATTTTAAGAGGTGGTTGGCACTTATCAACATTTTTTGATAAGAGGGAAGAAAAGAAGGAAATTTTTTTGGGAGAAAAGAACTTAGTGGCTTGAAAGAAATATCAAGAGGAGGAAAGTTGGGTTGTTTTTCAAAGCCCTAAAAACCAATCCTCCTATAAATGTAACGGGCTGGAGAGGGAAGGGGAAAAGAGATTAAGTGAAGAAAATTAATTTAGTCTCGTAGTTTCTTTTCGAGAGAAAAGAATAAAAAAGAAAAATCAAACTTTTTCTCTTATCTAAGATAAAAATGACAATAATATACAAAGTTGTAGTGGTGAAATTGACATATAATGATTTTCTCCTCTGAGGATATCAAATAGTCAACTGGAAATTGCCAACCTTTGTCTTTTCTCTTCTCTTCATCATTTCAACCAAATGGATGGAAGGAATAATAAGTTCTCTTCCCTTCTTTCTCTCTCTCATCGACAAGTAATTTCTGTTGTTAAACTTGCTACTTGATGTCTGTTGTTTGGTAGGTTTCTTGCTTAGGCTCTACTGCACAAATTAAAAAAAAAAAAAAAAAAAAAAAAGTAGTATAAAAATGTTTTTGTTTAAGTGACACGAGTGTGCACAAGTAAAGAAACCTGTTTTATCACCAAATATTCTAAAATAAGAAAAATAAATTCGTTTGAAGTGCACACAGGAATAAGGTCAAGTGGTAATAGCTGTGATGTGGTTGGGATAAATCTTAGGTTCAAATTTTTCTAGTAAGGAAACAAATGCTTGTTTGAAGATGAAACTTGAGCAAGCAGGAGTCGCATGCAATTGAGCTATACTTGAGGTGCAACTTTTCCATAGTCATAACGTGTCCTTAAAGCACTTAAGCTTTTGACTTCTTCCATGGTCATAATGTGTCCTTAATGTACTTTTCCAGTTTAACTTTTTCATTAGATTTGGTCTCAAGCACTTCAAGATCGATTGACATGTCTAATAATTCTGTTGCTATTTGAGGCGCCAGCAATCAAGCTTTTCTGTCTTCCATCAATTTATCCTGTATGGAAGAGTAGTACTGACAACAAATAAATTAATTATTTCCAATCTACTAACCGGAAAAATGATTTGTTGATCTAGTTTATGTTCCAAAAACGAACACACGAAATAAGGTTTTCCAAATTTTTGAAACACAGTTTTTCTTGGTCAATAATTTAAATGTAAATTGATAAGAGAAATAACATACTATAGAGATTGACAAATTATTTAGCCAAAAATGTCTATATTTACCATAACAGACATGCCTTGTTTGTTCAAAGCCTATGCTAATGATGGACCATTCTGCAGGGGGTGTCTTAATAACCAGCAATCTGAGTAGTGATGCACTAGTTAGTCATAGAAATTGATGTATATGTATATTCTTAGTCCCCTATGGTAGCGTTGTCTATTCACTTGCATACACATATTTGAGTTATGATTTGATTTGTTAACTACGCTTATAAGAATGTGTTATCAAAAAAATGAAACATCTTAACTGTTGTAATAAAATTATGTAATCTTTGCTTTCTGACTTCTGGTTGTAATAAACTCGGTGGGGTTTTGATTTTTATTGAATCAATTGTTTCAGGGGAATTCTATAGCAACTACTAAGTACAATGTTTTGACCTTTCTACCAAAAGGATTGTTTGAACAGGTAACCTGGATTTAAGCTTGCTAATATTAGAATGAAGAGGATGTGTTTTTTTGCTTAGACATTTTTGCATGAACCAGTTAGAGATAACAATAAAAGATATATTTTATTGATTTTCTTTGTTCCTGAAAAAAGTTTGTGTTTACTCTGACAGTTCAGGCGGGTGGCTAATTGCTACTTTCTCATGATCTCTATTTTGTCAACGACACCAATGAGGTATGGCCATTCCAAATTGAGGTGGAGAGTTTCTTTTAGAATATGTTGGGGAGGTACATATGTTCTGTTGGCTGCTTGATCATGGTTTATGGTAGTTTTGACAATTTTTTTCGAAACATTCCTGGACTAACTGTTCAGCTTGGCTCCCATATTTTTCACTTTCAACTAAACTACTCTTATTTGTTAAATTAAATAATGCCCCTGGTCAGGTTCTCTAATTAATTACTTATCAAACCAGAGTATAATCTTGATATGTCCCAACAATTAACTCGCTAACAAATTTTTTTCTTCTCATGCAGTCCTGTGAATCCTGTGACGAATGTCGTTCCTTTGAGTCTGGTGCTTTTGGTCTCACTGATTAAAGAGGCATGGGAGGACTGGGTGAGTACTGCAGTTCTTGCTCATGGTAGTATGCCATTTTAATTGTTTTTCTTAAAAAGGCATGGGGTATATGTGTAGCTTTTGAGATACACTATAGTTTAAGTGTTTTTGTGGTTTAGCTTGAGGTCTGAAGTTTGTCTAACAATATCTGTCTTGGGGTAAGTAAGTTTAAATAGTTTACTGCTATTTCTACTTGTGTGTTCATTTTTTTCTTTCAAATTGTGTGCAACAGAAGCGTTTCCAGAATGATATGGCAATAAATAATTCTCTTATAGATGTACTGCAAGATCAGAGGTGGGTGCCTACTCCTTGGAAAAAGCTGCAGGTTGGAGATATTGTCAGGGTGAGTTTGTTGCTTCTTTTATGTGGTTTAGCATGGGGTCTATGTTGATTTGTCATATGATGAGACCTGGCTTTGTAAATTTTTATATAATGGAGGATATCTACAGTACATTGTGAGGGGTGTTGGTTATCACCTCCATTGAGTAGTTATTTTTTCACTGTGTGCTAGCTGTGTCCATTGGCTTTGTTATATTTCCTTTTAGAGCTAATTTTTTTACTGATCTATTTCAAACCTGTTCCTCTTTGTTCTCCTTATGCATGTGATTGGAATTCTGAATATCAGAATGAATTCTAATTAATTGACCATGTGTACTATCTACCTTGTCAAATCTTATAACTCACCTTCTGCTTCTTTTCTCCTTCCCTTCTAAAACACATACCTGTTTATTTACATTTTGGTGTTTCATTTTTTATTTAAATATTTTAATAGTCACGTGCATTTTAATTTTATGCCCACTACTGTAGCAGTCACATTAATGTGAGTAAAATATTTTAATTCTATCCTTTGTAGGCATATTAAGTTAGGATGATAATACTTCTCTAGTTCAGATTTTTACAGGTGGTTTTGTGTTTTGATATTTGTGATTGGATCACAAAGGCTACATAGGAACTTGACAAAATATGTTTTTGCCTTAGCATTTGGGAGGTTGCCACTTCCGCATGAATACAACTTCACTTTGATGGGTGAATCCTGGCATTCTGCTTTAGCCACAGGGTTTCTCTCCAAATTGATTCCAAATAATTGATAGTATCAAAACTTGGGAATATTTTAAGATCACATATGTGTAAACCTTATCTTTTGAGTGAAAGTTTAGTAAAAACTGATCGCTTTTTATTTGTATTTTCTCCAGTTAACATTATTCATTTTGCCAGTGTGGATCTATGAATTGAGGCAAAGTAACAGCTATTTATGATTTCAATGCTAAGATTTTTGAGTGATGTATTCTGCTCTTTTGGGCAATATAAGATCTCTTTTGAGTGAAAGTGTAGTAAAAACTGATTGCTTTATATTTGTATTTTCTCTAGTTAACATTATTCATTTTGCCAGTATGGATCTATGAATTGAGACAAAGTAACAGCTTTTTATGATTTCAATGCTAAGATTTTTGAGTAATGTATTCTGCTCTTTTGGGCAATATAAGATCTCTGTAAATTTTTTTCGGTTAAGTATGTGAAAATTATCTATATTATCAAATATGATATCATATATTAGTGGAATCTTGTATCTTTTGCAGGTTAAGAAGGACCAATTTTTTCCTGCAGATATCCTTTTCCTCGCTAGTACAAATTCAGATGGTATTTGCTATATCGAGGTTCTACTCTTCTCTATTGTACTATTTGATATGGTTTTGTTGTCTTTTCAGTTTATCTGATAAAAGTTGCTGCTCTGTTATGCTATGTTTGACTCCATGGTTTATTTGTACTTCAAATTTTCATTTTGGTTGCAGACTGCAAATTTGGATGGAGAAACAAATTTGAAGATCAGAAAGGCATTGGAAAAGACATGGGATTACTTGACTCCTGAAAAAGCCTGTGAATTCAAAGGTTAACCTTTTTAATTGTTCTGCTAATCAGTTTCGTCTCTGCAGAGACCTTATATTATGCACACTGAAGTATTACGTTGTTCAGCATTTTGAAAATTATAGTTACTGGGAAGAGTTTTCATTTGTGAAAGTTAGATACAAATATGAGCTGTGTATGAGTCCCTGTGGAAGTTAAGTAAGAAGATGGTGGGACGAAGAAGATCAGCAAGTGATTGTTGTGGGTAGTCCTGTAGTAGCCTATGGGATTCTGTTATTGTGCTGCATCAAGCATAGAAATATCTAGTAATATATAAATGTAAATTCTACTCTTATCGAGTTCTATCATGTTTGAAGTATTGATAATGGGATACTGCCACTTTTTTCCTTGGAGTCAGACTGAGGTCAAGCTTACTCAGTTGTAATCTATACATCCTACAGCACCTCTGTGGCAACTTATATGATTATTATTTTCCTTGCTGTAGTCTTTATGCTAGGACAATAATTTTATGTCATGTGCTGAATCATTAATTGTTGCCTCATATCTTTACTTATATCATGAAGTCGGTACAGAACTGCAAGTTTAGGCTTGATGGGAGTTGGTTCTCACAATCCATTTGAAACTGATTTACTCTGTCATTTCCCTCACTATTTAATATCTTATTAACCGTCAATTTTCTAATGGCAGGTGAAATTCAATGTGAGCATCCAAACAATTCATTGTACACTTTCACTGGCAATCTTATAATGCAAAAACAAACGTTACCTCTCAATCCAAACCAAATTTTACTGAGAGTATGCTCCTTATTTTCTTTACATTTTCGTTTTTTGTGTAGTCTACATTAAGTGTATTGAAAATTAAGCCAGAATGTTGTTCTTGAACGCTTTTATAGAATTTCACGACTCTGCTGATAATATGTTATGTTGATCCTTTAAATCTTTCTTGTTTTTTTTTTTAATGTAATTAGTTATCACTTTTCATTGTCTTTTCAGCTCTTTGGCATTCTGTTGGAAAATTTGCATTAGTGAAATTCTTTTCGTTTTTCCGGGAATCGATCGTAGATTATGCATATTTTGGAATCTCTTGTTTTCATGGTTACTGTCTTATCTTTTATTCACTAATAGATACTGATTTTGATGTTTATCCACAATCATTGCAAACTGGAATTGTGTTTACTCATTAACTCAAGCACTGTGGTTTCAGGGATGTAGTCTCAGGAACACTGAGTACATCACCGGGGTTGTAATTTTTGCTGGTCATGAAACAAAGGTTTGTAATTGTGAATTGCAATGCAACAGAAGATGCTCTTTTGCAATGATTTTACTTTCATAGTGACAGGAATTTTCTTTCTTAGTGTAAGTTTCACCTTTTATAAATGTTGTCAGCACAATGTTTTCCAATAAATTACTAATTTTATCAATCCTGAATCCTGGGATTTTAAGTGTTACTTATTTTATTTTATTTTAGACTTGTTCGACTATATGCGGTTTCCAGAAGTTTCTGGTTTTGTTTCTATCCCATAAGAAGGGTCATTTTGCTATTAATTCCCTGTCTTTTGTCCACAGCTCTGATTATTTCATCTCTTGGTTTATTGTGATTTGGGGTTGAAACTGTAGGTCATGATGAACTCCATGAATATTCCCTCCAAAAGAAGTACATTAGAGCGGAAACTTGACAAACTTATACTTGCTCTTTTTGGCACTCTCTCTGTTATGTGTCTGATTGGATCTATAGGAAGGTTTGACAGTTCTTTTGTCTGTACTTCTACAATTAATTGCTATAATTATTTTTCCCTTTTAGTTATCTTTTTCTTTTTTCATTACATCCATTTTCCAATGCGAAATTTTTTTCTACTTCTTGAAATTCTGCAGTGCTGTATTCATAGATAAAAAGCAGTACTACTTAGGTCTTCAGAAAATGACTGGAAGTGTGGAGGATGATCAATTCAACCCTGACAACCGTTTTCTGGTACCATATAGTTTCTATAGTGCTTTGTCATTTGTTGTTGATTTTCATTTACTTAGTTGATTCTGTTTGTTGGTTCTACAGGTCTTTGTGCTGAATATGTTTACATTAATTACTCTCTACTCCCCAATTATCCCCATTTCCCTGTATGTTTCCATTGAGGTAGGTTCCTTTACAAATTACAATTTTTTGAGTGCTTCAGCTGTGTGGGGAAAGTATTATTGAAATGTCTCTCTCATTTGATTTCAGACAATCAAGTTTTTTCAATCCACTCAGTTTATTAACAAGGACTTAAGCATGTACCATGCTGAAACCAACACTCCTGCATTGGCTCGGACTTCCAATTTGAATGAAGAACTAGGACAGGTAAAGTTAAGCCATGTTGACATTTTTTTTCCTTNAATTCTGCAGTGCTGTATTCATAGATAAAAAGCAGTACTACTTAGGTCTTCAGAAAATGACTGGAAGTGTGGAGGATGATCAATTCAACCCTGACAACCGTTTTCTGGTACCATATAGTTTCTATAGTGCTTTGTCATTTGTTGTTGACTTTCATTTACTTAGTTGATTCTGTTTGTTGGTTCTACAGGTCTTTGTGCTGAATATGTTTACATTAATTACTCTCTACTCCCCAATTATCCCCATTTCCCTGTATGTTTCCATTGAGGTAGGTTCCTTTGCAAATTACAATTTTTTGAGTGCTTCAGCTGTGTGGGGAAAGTATTATTGAAATGTCTCTCTCATTTGATTTCAGACAATCAAGTTTTTTCAATCCACTCAGTTTATTAACAAGGACTTAAGCATGTACCATGCTGAAACCAACACTCCTGCATTGGCTCGGACTTCCAATTTGAATGAAGAACTAGGACAGGTAAAGTTAAGCCATGTTGACATTTTTTTTCCTTTAAAAAAAAAAAAAAAAAAAATCCAAGAGGAAGTCTCCTAAAGTTTTATGCTATTAGATAAGAGAAAAGAGGATTACTATAGATAAATTAAATATCAATTGGTGGAGAAACTTATTGGAAATAGGAGAACATCATACACTGCTTCAGAGTGAGATTAAACACTAATCAAGAGTGAGAGATGTAACAACCCTATGTTAGCAAGAGTATTTGCTACTTAATTCCCCTTTGTAGCTATGAGAAAATAAGTTGTTCATGTTGTGAAATAGATATTAGCAATTGAGCCATATAGTACGAAGAGGCCAAGGAGAGACATGGACTTCTTGTGAAGACATAAGAGAACTAAAAGAGAGTCAGACGCTGTCCATAAACTGTCTTAGCTTCTAGAATATGCGAACTCTATTGCAAGATCATTGCCGTGATTTTCACTTCAATAATAAGCACTAAGAGTCATTATCATACCACCAAGGAAACATTTGTATGAGCTTGGGAAACTCCACTATTAGCAGAAGTGCCCTGGGTGCCCTTAGGAGAGGCCATCAGTTTTCTCCTTTATCCAAGGAGGGGGAGAGATTTCTAAAGACCTCAAGATCTAAGGGGCTTTGGGATAACTAGGATCAATACCCAACCAATAATATATGGCAGGATCATCTGAATGCTCTATGTTCCTGGACAGTCCTTGCCAACAAATGATAACAACTTTCCTATTATCAATGGCTTGAGATCCGCCTCGAAATTGTCAAACTGTAACTTGTTTCTTATCATGTTGACTTTTGTAAATGAGGTGCAACAAGTTATTTTATATATAATTCTATGTAGAATATACGGTCAAAGTTATGATTCTTATGGTTTATGCTGTGCATTGGTCAGGTGGAATACATATTTTCTGATAAAACTGGAACTTTAACAAGAAATTTAATGGAGTTCTTTAAGTGTTCAATTGGAGGAGAAATGTATGGAACTGGTATCACTGAAATAGAGAGGGGGGTTGCAATGCAGACTGGCATAAAAATTCAGGAGGTACGCTTTTGTCATTATGTGATTGCATCATAGCACCTGATTTCTTATTTTACAAGGGTCATGATATGTCTAATGTCATTGTACTTTTTACAGGTGGAAAAGGCAGCCAATACAGCTCATGAAAAAGGTTTTAATTTTGACGATCCAAGGCTTCTACGGGGTGCTTGGAGGAATGAACCTAATCCTGATATTTGCAAGGTATCTTGCTTTGTTTTCATGAACAGAATGCTAGATTAGTGGCTGTTATATTTGATATGATAGGAATACTGTTTCAAAGATGAACTTTTGTACTTACTGGAATTGTAAATCTATTTTTCTCCATATCCCTGAATTTTATTTTTTTCATGAAATTTTTTTTTTTTTGATAACTACTTAATGTCATGGTAAAATAGAATACTTTAATTCTATCAAATGGTTAAGAGTTTCTATCTTTTTTTTTCCTTGGATTATTTTAACAGTTATATATATGTTTATATGCATAATGTGAAACTTCTTATGATATTTTAAAATGGAGGCAATGGTGAAACAAGGAATTTATTTGAGGGGGCACTTTAAGAGTATCATTATTTGGAATTTTTCTTTTTACAAACCTCAACGGTATGGGGGAATATATTAAATAAGTAAATGAAAGTTCAAATAAATGTGGGGATATAATGAGAAAGAAAAGCTGGATCATGATTATGAGTTAAATAATTTTGAAGTAGGAAATGTAAAACTTTGTTTTCGTTGTCGAAGTTCATTTATTAGAATTTATTTCAAATTAATAATGTCAAAATAAAAAAATTCTAGACAATGATTGTAATTTAATGAAAATGGTTATTCATGAAAATAGAAGGAAAACTCACATGGTGTAACACCTCTCAATAATGACATGAGAATCTTTTAGAAATTTGGATCTTCAAAAGGTTGACATAAAAAACTGAGTGATATAGATTTTATTGGGGGGCAAAATTGTAATGAAGGGTAAAACAAAAAATGATGGAAATTTAAAGTTCATGGCATCCCACCTGCTCCCCTTCCTAGTGTAGGTCCACCTATGGGTGCTGTCACTTCTTCCAATGTGTTTATTTCAACAGTTTCTGCTATTGAATAGTTTCTTTAAATTCAGTATTAATTAGTCTGGTTAAATATTATGAAAGTTAAATGTCTCAAACTGAATGACCAGACCTAAAGCAGAAAAAATATAATTTCCTTAATCTTTTCTTTCCTTCAATAGTTAATTTTGTTGTTTTCTCAACATATTACTTTTTCTTCTTTGTGTGATCAAGAGTATTATAGTTGCGTGTCATAATAACTGGTATTTAGCGTCGATGGAACAAGGCAAACATGTTTAATAGTTGAGTTATAAATTTAGATTCTTATTTTGCTTTGGGTTGCTGTTGAGAGAGCCTGTTTAATTGTATTACTTCTAGTAATATTTTCATCTGTTATTAATGCTTTAATAAATTAAACTTCATTATTAGTATAATTGTTGCAATTTAGGAGAATTGGCAGGACCTATGACATTTCACAAAGAACATTTCTGGCTCTTCTCAGAGCTTCAAACAATTTATGAAATATAGTGTTATTAATTCTGATGTTGCTTGATGCTTGAATCATGCAATTTCCAGAACAGGGGTGTCCTTGAAGCCCAATTTACCTTTCTTTGGTTTTTGAAGTGAGATTTTTTGCTTATCATGTAGGAATTTTTTAGATGCCTTGCTATTTGTCATACTGTGCTTCCAGAAGGTGATGAATCCCCAGAAAAGATCACTTATCAAGCTGCCTCCCCTGATGAGGCTGCATTGGTTACTGCTGCAAAGAACTTTGGGTTTTTCTTTTACAGGTTTGTAATCTTATTCTATTTTAGACCTTCTCATGAAACTTCTAAGATTTACAGTAGTTACTAAAACATGGTAGTTTGCCATTAGCCTATCAACTAATGGCTCTTGGATGAGGCTCTCTCTGACAACCCAATGGCCTTAAGGGAATTTGACATCTGGTTTTGGTATAAATTGAGGGAGCTTTTGTTTCTAAAGATATATTTGGCCATATTTTTGCCTAATCCTTGTATTTTTTCTCAGGCGTACACCTACTATGATTTATGTTCGTGAATCTCATGTGGAGAAGATGGGTAAAATGCAAGATGTGTCATATGAGATTCTTAATGTGCTCGAATTTAATAGGTGGGCATATATTCTTGCTTGAATATATTCATCTTCTATGTTCTTGGTTGATAAACTAAATAAATTGTAATCCTTGATGCATAAATAGTACGAGGAAGCGCCAGTCTGTTGTATGTCGATATCCTGATGGTAGGCTTGTTTTGTACAGCAAGGTAATTGTTTCGTTTTGATTCTTACATATTGCTAGTTGCGTTTGGTGAAGAAATTGACCCTTGGCCAAAAATATGCTTTTCACAGGGTGCTGATACTGTCATTTATGAGAGACTGGCTGATGGAAATGGAGACTTGAAGAAAGTAACCAGGGAACACTTGGAACAATTTGGATCTTCCGGGTTGCGAACCCTTTGCCTGGCCTATAGAGATTTGAATCCTGATATGTATGAAAGATGGAATGAGAAATTCATTCAGGCTAAGTCTTCTCTGCGAGATCGTGAGCAGAAGTTGGATGAGGTAAATTCTGTTTGAACATGTTTTCTTTTCTTTATTATAATTTGATAGCTTTTTCTTTTCTTTTTTCCTCTTCAAGAGGTTAGTCATCCAATTCTATTTCAGAAAAGATGTTTATTGGTGTTATTATTTTTGCACTATGTAGTGTTTGTTTGAATGATGCTGTGAATTGATGCATTTCTGGTCAGTTGACAGTGGTCATTTTTTGTTACTCCTCTTGAGCCAATATGTTTTGTAGCTTCGTCAAGTTACTGTTTAGTAACAGGATTAATTGAATGTCTAAAGAATAGACATTTTAACTTGTATGATGCTATACATTTTTTTGCCCAGTTGGCATTTCATATTGGTTTGGAAAGAAGCATGTTGGTTCACTTTTTGCAAAAAAAAAAAAAAATTACATAGCTGTGTATTGCATCACTTACAGCACATTTTTTTCACAGTTGCAGTTTTTTTTGTGAAAAAGTTTGATAATCCATACTCTTTGATTGCCAACTTTACATTGATGATTTTTATTGTTGAGCGAAGTGCTTGTACATTAGATGCTATGCACTATTTCTTTAGTTAATTTGAAGTTATCTTCGTTGCCTATTTTACTTTAATGATTTATAGTCTTGAGAAGGAGGTGCTTATACATTAGGAGTTATGTATGATTTTCAGTTAATTTTTATTATGTTCTGCCAAAATATCTATATTAATATGATTTAGATATGGCAAAGTGAGAGGTGATCCCTTATTTCATTCTGAATGAGTGTCAAAGGATTCTAGTCAAAATATGGCGAGAATGGAGCATGATTACATGCAATTTTGAGGCAGCTATTTCTGTCTCTTTATTGCCAAATAGTTTAATCTTGTTTTTCTTTTATTGGGATGCCATTTTAAGTTTGTATCACAGAGAAGATGTGAAAATTATTCAGGTGGCAGAACTCATAGAGAAGGATCTTATTTTGATTGGTTGCACTGCTATAGAAGACAAACTTCAAGAGGGAGTACCAACTTGCATAGAGACTCTTTCTAGAGCTGGAATTAAGATTTGGGTGCTAACAGGAGACAAATTGGAAACAGCAATAAATATTGCTTATGGTGAGTCAGTAAATTAAGAAGAGCTGGTTTACCTCTCTGAAATGTTTCTTGAATTTAGAGTTATTTTCTATTTTTTGTCCTTCTTGAGATTTATATCTCTTTTAATTTGCTGTAGCGTGCAACTTAATTAACAATGGAATGAAGCAGTTTATCATCAGTTCGGAAACTGATGCTATTAGAGAAGTTGAAGAAAAGGTAAGTCGCATTCTTTAGCTAACAATGGTTTTATATGTACAAAAAGTTAGAATTTTGACCAATTGTCAATCTCTAAATATTAGTTACATGATAATTTTTTAATTGAATACCTGTTGTCAGGGTGACCCAGTGGAGATTGCACGTGTTTTGAGGGAAGAAGTGAAAAGAGACCTTAAAACCTGCTTTGAGGAAGCACAACAATATATGCATTCTGTATCTGGACCAAAATTAGCTCTTGTTATTGATGGAAAGTGCTTGATGTATGCACTGGACCCAAGTTTGCGAGTAATGCTACTCAACTTGAGCTTGAATTGTAGTTCTGTTGTCTGCTGCCGAGTTTCTCCTTTACAGAAGGCACAGGTAAGGTTCCTTATGGAATCTAGACTTAATTTGAACACTTCATGTCACTCTGCTTGTATTTGGTTTCTCTTTCTCTTTAAAACATGGATCTTGGGATTCAAAGTTATGTTGATGTGCTACTTTCTATAAACAAACATGTGTTGTCTGAGCAGCACTTGTAAAATAATGTTGCACAACTTAGCTTTCTTGTTGTAACATATATATTTCAGCAAAAACATTGTTCCTTCCTAAACTGATTGTTCTGCATGTTTATTTTAGCATTTTTGGATGAGTTTTCTTGTGAGAAGTAATAATTCTGCAATAGTGTTTTTCATTTTAGTTTACTCATGTAAAATTGTTATTGGTGTGGGAAAATTATAGTTTGGTTTACAGGTTGAACCAGTGGTAATACCTTACGCCGTTTTTAATCTCTCAGGTGACAAGTCTGGTAAAAAAAGGTGCAAGAAAAATAACACTTAGTATTGGTGATGGTGCCAATGATGTTAGCATGATTCAAGCTGCTCATATTGGCATAGGAATAAGTGGGCAAGAAGGAATGCAAGCAGTGATGGCTAGTGATTTTGCAATTGCCCAGTTTCGCTACCTTACAGATTTACTTCTTGTGCATGGTCGTTGGTCATATATTAGAATATGCAAGGTTTGTGTTTATTACACATTCAGAACTTTGTTAAGTTCTATTTGTGTTTGGGTGATAATAGTTTACGACAATTTCTGATTGCAGGTTGTGATGTACTTCTTCTATAAGAATCTTACTTTTACTATGACTCAATTTTGGTTTACCTTTTACACTGGATTTTCTGGTCAAAGATTCTATGATGATTGGTTCCAGTCATTGTTTAATGTCATATTTACATCCATGCCTGTTATTGCGATGGGACTTTTCGAGAAGGTACTGCATTCATTTCAATGACTTTTTGACTAGAGCTTTTTACTGCATTGAAGCAATTACGATAAGATCATGTTGTTTCTTTGTTAATTGATTGGTTTAAATGTGTCTTGTGTGTTTAATTGTCTTTTTGCCAGGATGTCAGTGCAACCCTTTCAAAGAAGTACCCTGAGCTNCGACAATTTCTGATTGCAGGTTGTGATGTACTTCTTCTATAAGAATCTTACTTTTACTATGACTTAATTTTGGTTTACCTTCCACATTGGATTTTCTGGTCAAAGATTCTATGATGATTGGTTCCAGTCATTGTTTAATGTCATATTTACATCCATGCCTGTTATTGCGATGGGACTTTTCGAGAAGGTACTGCATTCATTTCAATGACTTTTTGACTAGAGCTTTTTACTGCATTGAAGCAATTACGATAAGATCATGTTGTTTCTTTGTTAATTGATTGGTTTAAATGTGTCTTGTGTGTTTAATTGTCTTTTTGCCAGGATGTCAGTGCAACCCTTTCAAAGAAGTACCCTGAACTATATCAGGAAGGAATAAAAAATGTCTTTTTCACATGGAGAGTTGTGGCAGTTTGGGCTTTCTTTTCTGTCTACCAGTCTCTAGTCCTTTATTACTTTGTGGCCTCTTCCAGTTTTGGTGGTCAAAATTCATCAGGCAAAATATTTGGTATTTGGGATGTCAGCACGATGGCTTTCACGTGTGTTGTAGTAACTGTCAATTTGCGTCTTCTTATGATGTGCAATTCAATCACAAGATATCATTATATAACTGTTGGAGGCAGCATTTTAGCATGGTTTATATTTGTGTTTATATACGCGGGTATTATGACCCCATATGATCGACAGGTGAGTGCTCTGCCTTTTTCTGCTTTTGTTATATTGCTTTATTTTTATAATTTTTCTTGTGGGGGATGTCTATCATCAATGCCTCCATTGTATTTGTATATGTTCTGATTTGCTCTTTTTTTGTTTTTTTCCTTATATTCAATGCAGGAGAATGTTTATTTTGTCATTTATGTCTTAATGAGTACATTCTATTTCTACTTTACACTTATTCTTGTTCCAGTAGTTGCGCTTTTCGGTGACTTCATTTACCAAGGGTAAGGTTCAGAAACACGTATATTGAAGTACTACAGTTTTTATCTGAAATGTCACGTGTCTTCGGTGTATGATCAATGTATTGTTTATAGTTATCATGCATGATTATTCAATGGTGCATATTTTCACCCAGGAAAAAATGGCCATTGTTTATAGTTATGCTTTTGTGCATTTGCTTTTCATGATTCTGGCTTGTGTATTTTCTCTTTGTTATTTTTGACACTTTGTTCTGATGTTCATTTGAATGCAGTGTTCAAAGATGGTTTGCTCCATATGATTATCAGATTGTTCAGGAAATCCACCGGCACGAACCTGATGAAAGAAGAACAGGGTTGTTGGAGGTTGGTAACCAGCTTACACCTGAAGAGGCAAGAAGCTTTGCAATAGCTCAACTCCCACGAGAATTATCGAAACATACTGGATTTGCATTTGATTCGCCCGGGTACGAGTCATTTTTTGCGTCACAGCTAGGTATATATGCACCACAAAAGGCATGGGATGTTGCTAGGAGAGCCAGCATGAGGTCACGGCCTAAATTACCAAAAAAGAACTAATAATCCCAAATACACTAGTGTACAAAATTTGACGGTCATCTTTAGAAATTTTATAAATTAGCTTGTGCATAATTTTTTTTTTTTTTTTTTTTTTTTTTTTTTAGGAATCCTTCATAGAATTTACCAGGTTTGTCATGGATGTACAGACTTAAATACCAAGAGATTGTTTTTGACAGTGCAATTTAAGCTATTTAATTCCAGATTCAGGTTGTACGTGAGTTGCTTAATAAATGCTATGGACACTATTTGCCCCCAATTTTTTGTACCGATGTACGTGGTATCGTAGAGCCACGTTTGAAACTAACACATCTTTCGTAATGCACGACGTCTAACAATTATGGCACCTTTCATATTTGGGAACCGTGTATACGAATGATGGTGTTCACGAAAATAATATGGATTTATTTATTTATACGGATGGAGTCTATTTCCTTTGATGAGTGTCACCACATATGGATGTTTTATAAATTTTTGAAAAAAAATAATTTATATGGAAGGGTGTCCATCTAAATGGACCAGCCAATTATTCCATGCTATTGCCTTTGACGCCTGATATTTACTTATCCTGCTGGCTGCTGTAAACAAATTGTTCTGTAATTTCTCCCACGTTTGTACTGTGTATGTACTTAATATTATTGATTGTTTTCTTTGTGCAAAAGAAGCAATCATATATCTAGATACATTTCTTTAAATATTAAACTATGCCTTTTTATTTAGAACCAATTAGATCACATGGAACTTGCATTCAGCAACAAGAGAAATAAAGAAATTATGAGTGCTCTGCAAGTACTGACATAGAACTTCATAGATCGTGATGGACGCGCGTCTATGATGGAAACTTTTATTATTTTATTTTAAAATTTTATATAGGAATCCATGAGGTGAACACTTGTTATATATATGTAAAAATCATTGTTATTTTTTGGACGCTCGTTTATTCATGATGAATAGTCATCCATTAAATATGGACAGACGTCATAATTGTTGGATAACCGTTATTCATGAAAAATGTGTTTTGTCTCTAGTAGTTGTGTCTGATGATGCCATGTTCTTCGATACAAAAATTCGATATCCGTAGCATTATTGGTTGCTTATGCGTTAAATGATTCATTGTTACCAGCAGTGACAGATTTAAAATGGCATGTAGCTTCTTAGCTTACTCTAAAATAAAATAAAATATTATTCACATAATAAGTTTCAAAACCTCTCTCTCTCAACAAAAAAGCACAACCAACTAATCAACAGTATGGTAAAAGAAACACACATTGCGACAAAATAAAGTAACTATCATTGTTGGATGAATTGTACCTTCTTTTTCTTTGGTCTCTTGCATTTCTTGTTCAACTTGAGTACCTGCTTCAGACATTTGATCATCTTCACTTCTCCAAAAGAAGCAAAAATTGAGCTAGCTTTTCTGATACAGATAGTTGCTTTCCTCTAATGACTTCTCATCCCCATCATAACATCATCATTTCATAAACCAGATAAATCCCACATTCTTCAGTTCACACCCCTTGACAAGTGGTGGGTCTCTTTTGGATACCTGTATCTTATAACCATCTTTCACATCATAACCAAAGGATCATCATACACTGAATATCGACACAAGTGAAGTTGATCACCGTTTGTCTTTGGTACCCCCTGTAAATCCAAAGTGGTGTTAAATATAGGTTTATCCGGTTTCGTGATTGTTGCTAGAATGTCCACTACTCCAGGAGTTGATATCTAACATCTCTGGTATCTGATGGTCAAGCGCACGACTACCCTATGATCACAGCTTTGATCTCTAGGTTTTTCCGTTTTGAAAATCTAAACATATTTGGAGAAACCATTCTGGAAGTTTGCTTCCAGGCTACTTAGATTGTGTAATTTCTTCAAATGAACCTACAAATTGCAATAAGAGGCAGTCAAAACTAGACAAAATCTTCTTCATGGAACTCAGCATTAAGAGTATAGGATGGTCGTAGTTGAGAAAAATTTATAAGAGTAACATTTACACACACATGATAGGAATTGAGGATCTGAGAGAGATTGAGAGAGAACCTTAGAAAGTCTTTTCTTCACTACTGCAGGCATGCATTGCAACAACTCATGTGCAACGCTCAAGGACTTCAAACATTCAAGGCCGGAATATCCTCACTTTCTCACAGTTTGTAAGGTTCAGTAACTTTAAGCTCTCCAAGTTTGAAAGGTCATGTATTCTTTCCAATTCAAAACAGTTTGCAACATTTACCTCTCCAAACTAGAGGGAAGAGGAGGGAGAGACTGGAGTTCTTCACAGTCGCGCAACCAAAGCTTTTTGAGAAGGGAGAGTCCCCTCAGGCTAGATGGAAGGCTGTGAATTGTTGTTTCTTTTCAAGATTTCTAAACGTGACAACTTGTCAAAATCATCAGATTTTACCACGATTCTCCAAGAACGAGCATCCAATTCTTCCAGCATGTGAGATTTGAGAAAGATGTTGGCAGTACCACATTAGTAACCTGGCTCAGTTTTTCCAGGCATTTTTAAAGGGGCTGTTTTCATTCTCAATACCATAAGCTTGAAAGCATACCAAAGCTTTCTGGTAACTCTGTTATGGCAGTTTCCTCCATAGCAAATGGACCAAAGACTTCAATTTTCCAATTGAAGCTGAAGTTTCTGGAGCTGTTTACATTTGTTCATCTTAACTAATAGATTTTCTAACACCAATGGATTCGGGCAACTCCGAAATATTGGCTTCAAAAATGTCCAGAGTAGTAAGACTCAACACGCTTCCAATTGGTACCGGTAAATTTTTAAGATATATACAATTCTTCATCTGAAGCTTGTCAAGCATTTTCAAGCCACCATCTGATCTGGAAATCTTTATTGTCCCATCTAACTAAGCTCAACAAGTGAAGCTAATCCTTCAATTGATTCAGGCAATTTGCAAAGGAGTTGACACTTCGCACAGAGAAAGCCTTCAAATATGATAATGAACCAATGGAAGTAGGCAGTTTTTCTATAGCAGTTCCACCAATTAAGGAATTCTATCAAGGACTTGAGATTCCCAATAGAATCAGGGATTGCAGTCACTGATCCACAGCCAATTAAACTTAGTTGCTCAAGGTTTGCCAAGGATCCAACAGAATCTGGTAGTTCTTCTATTGCAGAATGATTAAGAGAGAGTTCCTTCAGAGCATCCAGCTTTCCTATACATTCAGGTAGTTGTTTCAAAAGTTGACAGTTATCTAGATTTAGCTTCTCAAGTTTTACAAGGTAAAATATTGATTTAGGCAGTTTTTCTATAGCAGTTCCATCAAGAAGAAGTTCCTTTAAAGATCTCATGCTGCCTAAGTTCTCCGGTAAGTTCTTTAATTTAGAGCAACGAGAGAGGATAAGTTTCTCAAGATGTTTCAGACCTGAGACATCGCTTGGCAATTCAATGAGGCTTGAGCATGCTCTGAGGTTCAAATGAAGTAATTTACTCATATTACCAACTGATTCATGAATCTTAGTCAGTTTAATGCAACCCTCAAGAACAAGCTTTTCCAGGATCTGATGCTCGGATAAATCAGGAATAGCAGCTAGATTCCAGCAACCGCGAAAATTCATGACCATCAAGTTCTTAGCCACCTGGCAAACAATAAAATTTTCCTTTGTGATAAAAGAAAACAATCATACTGAATTTTTTTATGGAGTTGCACAATAGAGAGAATGAATAAGGATATATCAAGGAGAACAAGCAAAAAAGGAGAGAAATTCTAAGAGAAACAGATAAAGCATGAGGAGAAAAGCCATGTTCTTATCAATCACCAACCGAAGTTTGTTAATAATAATAGTATTTTTGAGTAGTATTTTTTAAAAAGTTAGGATATTATTATAAAGATAGGATTTGAATTTGAAAATGTGTTTGGTAAGATTATTTTTAATCCCTTATATTTATTAATTTAGTTAAACACTTCATACAATCAAAGTTTTAAAATTAACAAAAATACCTCCTACCCACCCATTAAATGCTAGCGGTGGTGGCTGACTACCGAGAATATGTGAGTGGGTGGAAGTGTTTTTTTTAATTTATAAACTTTTATTATTGAAGGTGTTTAGTTAAATTAATAAACCTAAGAGATTAAAAAAAATTAAATATTTTAAATTGAACATAACAAGAATGAATTTTGAGAATAGTAACACATATTTTAAACAAGATAGGATAGAAATATGAAAACAAACACAACCAAAAGTTTTTATATTGTAAATGAGTAAACGACACGTTCTCACACGAGGTTTAGCCAAATGGCAAGTTCTCATAAATAGTTTCATAAATTCCAGATTACTACTTTTAAATTAATAGAAAATTGTTTAAAGTAACGATCAATCATTTGTGTTACGTTAAATCTGAAATAAAATAAAAATTGCCAACGCCCGTATTCCGTGAATCCCTGCCAGATTTTTCAACCAAATCGACAAGATTCATCACCCTTAACCAAACAATCAATCAACGAAATCAAAAGATAAAAACCTAGAAAAATCGCAAATGACAATCAAACAATCAATCAATCGACGGTGAGTGATGCCTTTTCCATCCTAACAGCCGCTGTTTCTGGCCTGTTTTGGCCAGAATCTAGCACCAATGAACCTCTCCAACTCCACCATTGACACCCTAACATCTTCCCCACGAAACCCCATCTCACTCCCACCCCGAAGTGCCCACCAATCGCCCGCGAACACCACCTGTTTTTTTTTTTTTTCGTGCGATTACCCACTTTTTCAGCCACTTTTTGGCCAAATTTGCCACTAGAAATTATCCCCAATACCATCATTGGATTTGCCGGCATCTCTTCGTAAAAAACCCCAACAACCTAGCCCCCAATCGCTTGCAATTCGCCTTCTAGGGTTTTCGATTTTGGTGTTTATTGGTTTGTTTGGAGGTTGGATTTTCGGAGATTTTGAAAGGAGTTTTAGATTGTGGTTTTGTTTGGAGTTTGTTTGTGGTTGATTGAAATGTATTTGTGTTGATTTTCTTGTTTTGATTTGATTTCGGGAGTTGGAGATTGAAGTCTACCCAGAAAGCATTGTTTTAAAACTCGGCCGGTTGAACCGGTTTAACCAGGACCCGGCAGCTTCAACGGGCCAGGTTTAACTTTTCCGATTCACCCCAAAACCCTAAGATTTGGGAGGATGATCGGTGAACAATCGACGGCTAGAAGGTTAGGGCTTTTGAAGGCTAAATTCCGGTGAATGCAATGGTGGTGACGGCGTTGATTTTCGGTGAGTAAATCGATCGGAAATCGAACAAACCTGGCAGCGGCAACAATGGGATTTTTCTGGCGATTGGCGAGGCTAACGGGGGTGGGGTGAGGTGGCTTTTGGTCAGGAGGAATAGGGGAGTAATTCCTGGGTGATGGAGAGGTTTGTCGGCGCTGAAGTGGATGAGATCTGGCCTGGAATACCCATGCCAGCGTTAGTGAGATCTGGCCGAAATCCAACCTATTTCGGCCAGATCTTGGGTAGATTTTAATGGAAATGGGCTCAGGGGACGATTGGGGTTGCATTTGGGGTGTCACCGCTACCGATCAGTCGTCGGTCAATTTTCATTTGGGGTGTGTTTGATAAAGTTCAAACATGTAGGGACTTGTAGGCGATTTTTAGGGGTGTATTTGTTGAGTTTTAAAATTTTTAACCAGTTAAACCAGTCAACCCAGGACCCGAAAAATTTGCTGGGTTTCACCTCGGGTTGGGTTTTAAAACATTGCCAGAAAGTGCACACCACCTGTTTGTGGTTTTGCGGACGACGAGAAGAGAGGGAGGGTTGAAGACGAGGGTGTTATTGAAATAAATTTGAAAGTAAGATGATTATTCTAATTCTACTAATTTGGGGGTTAAAAAGAATTTATTAATCTATTTGTCAAGGCAGTTTGATAATAACACTCTTTATACCATGCCAAAATATAAAAACTATTAACGGTGTTAATTTAAGTGTCAGAATCTAGAATTTATAAAACAGGGTGGTTACATGTCATTTACTCTTTGTAAATTTGTAAAACAAAAATCTAATCCTAAGCAAATACGAAATAAACATAAAAACCAGTCACAAACAAAATAAAATTCTAAAAATACTCTAGACAAATCAAATCCCTAATCTAATTGAAACAAAGAGTATAATAACCTAAGAGGCCTATCCTATTAGTCCAACATCATATTGGCACTTTGGCAGAACAAACCCTGAGCATTATAGTGGCTTTTGGTAACTCAAACTAAAAAAAGCAGAAAACTATGTAGTGAGAAGCCTGCTTAGGCACCAAAAACATCGTCCTGGTTGCCAACATCTTATTTTTGTGGTCATAGCCAAAATTATGATGATAAGAAGTGAAGCATACCTTGTTAGTGTACGAACTCCACACATGTTCAATGGCACTATTTGAGAGATCAAGAACAGCAAGTTGGAAAGGACAAAAATCAGAAGGAAGCGTTTTCACTGTACATTTTTTCCACTGCAGCCACTTCAGATCAGCAGGAAGAAATTTAAACTTCCCTTCCAATTTTATATAATTGATCTGAAGCAGTCTCAGACTAACCATTGATTCAAAAGATTCAGTGTAAAGTATAGTCTCTCTCTCATTTTCTGATCCATGTTGATGACATTTTTTGTATCTTTCTTTCAAGTATGTAACAGCAGGGATAAGACTTAGCCTTCGTTCATGATTACCCCAGAAATTTGTGTCAGCACTTGAATTCTTCTTCTTCAAGATTCCTTCTTTAAAGTCTAGGACAATACCCTGTATACTTCTTGTTCCCTGTGGCCAAAAATATGGATACTACTTTAAAGACGAACAGAACCAATTAGGAGGGAAAACTACTACTCCCAATGTAAAACCATGTAAAGTCTAAGATAGGATGAGGATATAATGTCACTCATATGGCTATTAATAAAATTATATCACATATATAGTTATTTTCTCTTTCATCCAAGACTCAACAAAATTATCAATACTGATATGCTAATTCACTATGACTGAAGCAAATTGTCACTGAAAAAAGAAAAAAGAAAAACTCTTAAGTGAAATATGTCCACAACGGTATGCAAGTGCACACACCCGCGTATGCACTTCAGGAGAACCTTTGCCAGTTAAGTGAATTTCTGTATGTTAAAATCTGAACTAAATTACATTGTTTTGCGGTGGTTATACTGATTTTTTATATTGACAGCGACACCCAAATCTACAAGTGGAAAGGAAATTTACAAATACAGTACAGGGAGAGTGAACCAGAAATGACAGACCACTTTACTCTCATATGAAAACATGGACGCATGAGCTCCTCTTGCATCCAAAAATTCAAAAAATATGTCACTGCGAAAATGTCGCTGGTGTAGAATTTGGCATGCTAACACAATATTGGTGAAATTCTAATTTCATTCGACCAAATTAATGGTATGAGGAGATTTCATTCAGCAAAAGAAACTTCAGAAATTTAGTTTAGTTGGTCAGGTCTAATGCTCTTTTGCAATTGTACATGAAGTCTAGGGATTTAAGAAAATTTGTTCTAAAAAAACAGAGAGAGAGAAAAAAGCAGAACAAATAAAGATTGCTAATCAAGAGGCATTTGCTGTTATCCATTACCTTTTTCAGCATCAACACAGACATGATATCATGACGATCCCACAGTCTACTACGCTGTCCAGCATCTAGAAGGTTCTCCTGTTGAACAATTTGTCTGCCCATGTCTCTAAGTTGATCATGCATCCACAAAGTATCATCCTCAGCAATCCTGATGAGTGATTTTGCCACAAGGACTGAGATTGCTATCTCAGCTCTAAATCCACAACCTTTCAATATGTCTATAGCCTCTTCTCTCTTCATCTCCATTTCAACAAACAGACATGCGATGTCAAGGAATATACACCTATCTTGTTCATCTAGCCCATCAAAGCTTATCTTTAGTATTCCTTGAAGATTATCAGGACGAATCTTTCTTAACTTTCCCATTGCATCTTCCCATTCCGGGATCGTCCTCTTATCAAACAAAAAAGCACCAAATACCTCAAGAGCCAATGGCAACCCTCCTGTAAGTGATACAATTTGCTTAGAGAGATCCAAAAACTGGTCTGCAGGTTTCTCTCTTCTAAGTGCATGGTAACTAAAAAGTCGGAGTGACTCTGAGGGATCCAACTTTTGTACCTCGTGGTGCGCATAATTTTCAGGTAAAACGCCTCTATCTCTTGTGGTAATAATAATTCGACTTCCTTCACAGAACCATTCTTTCTTTCCACATAGTGCATTTAGTTGGCTTATATCATCAACATCATCGAAAACAGCAATAACTTTTCTCTCTTCTAGTATCCTCTTGATAGCCTCAATATTTACTTTAACCTCATTTGTAATAACCACCTTATTATCAGGGTAAAGATCATCAATAAGTTTCTTTTGTAGAGATATCAATCCATCATCTTTTCCTGAAATCTCTCTAACATTTGAAATGAAACTGCGATGCTCAAATTGCCCAACAAATTTATTGTAAACAGCCTTTGCAAGGGTTGTCTTACCAACCCCACCCATCCCATGAAGCCCCAGAACCAGAATGCCTCTGGATTTTACATCTAACAACCTCACAAGTTGTTCCACACGAGAATTAAGTCCAACTGTACAAGCAGCCACTCTTATTGGAGTATTACTCAATTCAGTCGAAATCCTTTTGACTAAACGTTGCACCAGCTGCTCTTCGTCCCTGAAAAATTATATGATCATCAACAACAATAATTGACCAAAAACAGAAATAACTTTTCCATTTTTATAATGCACGTGCGCACATTTGATATAAAAATATAGTTGGGCTCCCATGATGGTTCTTGATTGATTTAAAATTCCCTTAATTGAGCTAGTCAGCGAGTAAAAAGGATTCATTGGACATTAAAGAATATTAATTGCTTTTGCAAAGAAATAAAGAATATTAGTTGCTTTGCAAATAATTAATATAAGGGTAATACTAGGTTTACTGAACATTCTCACTTGGTGTCACCACGCAATTGGTAAGGGATATGAAAAAGAATCGATCGCAGTGAGAATCGGTGGATACCTAGGGTTCGATTCCTTTCCGAAACTGGCTGTCAACTGATAGGTAGGTTCCAGCTCAAAAAATCTGAAATCGATACCATGCGGTTCCGATTTCAATTCTTGCGGTCAGAAACCAGAATCGGAATAGAAATTGGGAATCGAGACTGATATAAAAATAACATTAAAGAATGGGGTGTTTTTGTAATTTTGCTATATATAAAAGATTCAGTGGGATTTTCAGAAAAAAAGATTTTCCATTGTGTCTCTCCATCCTTGTTGCTCTCTCTCAATTGAAAAACTTGACATAGTTAGCGGTAGTGGTGGTGGAATGTGAAGAGCCGTACTGATGAAGGTAATTCTCAGCCTTTTCAACATTCTTACCAAAGCTCTTCTCTTCCAGTTTACAGGTTTCTATTCTAGGTACTAAAGAACAGGAACCGATGGTCCCGGGTTAGGTTTTAAATTTCAGGAACCTATCGGTTCCACTTTTGGTGCTTTTAAAAAATGTAGAGTACCCATAACCGATCAGCCCCAGCAATTGGTTAATTCACAATGGATCCCGTTTGTCCAATAATGGGTCTTGCGTACCCAATTACAAGGTAACCAATTGCGAGTTGTTACATTGTGTTTGTGAGAGAAAGTTAAGGAGAAAGATTTGTCAGTCTATCTTTATTGTTAATAAAATATTATATCCTTGTGTTGTAAACTTGTAATTGGCTAAATAATATTTCTAAAAATGTGGTAGTATAGTCAATATTACTCACCCAATCTGTTGTAAATAGATGACCGTGATTGATGGGTTGATGAAGAGAAATGAAGCAAGCAAATAAGCAAATATTTACTGAGTAAATTATTTTTTGACATATAAAAAAGGATATGCAACGTAAAACAGTAGTGTACAGAATAAATGATTGAATCGAATATGCCTGAGAGCAACAATTTGATTGGTTTACAAAGAGCCAATGAATATTGGCTAGTTTCATTGATACCGACGGTTGGTGTTCATCTAATGATTCTTCATCGTCTTCGTCATCAAAATCATGGTGTTTTCGAAGACCAGAGATGAATTTCATACTTTTTCTAAGTTAGACCATTAAAATATGGTGTCCCTTATGTTGCAATAGGTGACTCATCAATTACAATATACAAATATAATTAAGAGATTACAAGATATCAGAAAAATTATAAGAATGTTAAAACTGATGAAATAAGAAGATCCTGACATATTTAGGAAATACTGCTGAAATCTTGATACTAAGCAACTTTAGATTAAAAATCTCCGAATGAACCCAATTCCAAATTAAATAAACATTAATGAGAAAATAGTCCACATTGTAAAAGCAATGCAAAGTCTATTCCAAATTGCAGATCTAAAACCCTATTTCTATGTAAGATTTACCAATCAAAGTTAACACACAAAAAGATTCTTCCCCGTCCAACTCAAAAGTTTTCTCTCCTCTCGAAAATCAAAAGTCTTCTTTAGTCTTCCAATAGAACTAACACATGAGAAAATAAACAAGCAAACAAAGAAAGTTCAGAAATCAACGAAGAAATTTAAAAAAAAAATATTACCAAATTCTAGAATCCCAGTCAGAGATGTCACCGGCCTTTTCCGTAGCTCTCCTCCATCGAACAACCTTATTTTCACCAAACCTCTGCACCAGCTTCACAAAATCCTCCTCGAATGGGCCTTTTTGCCTCCTGACATCCGAAGGATCAACCTTGTAAAATACCGGAAGATTTAGCTTCCTGTACTCTACTATTCTAGCAAGCTCCTCAAGATATCATCTTAAAGGAGCGTACTTGCTTGATATGACAGCTATAGCAGCTGCAGAATCCTGAATGGCCTCTACAGGCTCGGAGGGATCTCCTCTCCTCTCTCCAGCTCCTCGTCATCACGAAATGAACACGTCCCAACGGTATCGGAATGAAGGTGTTGAGTAGATGATGTCGTCGTCGTCCATTAAAAGAAGTGATGGAACTGGTCGGAGGGCTCAGATCAGAAGTTTGTTTGCATGGATGGGACTGGAGTTGGATTCCAGTGTAATTTTGAATTTTCTTCCTTTGCGTGCTTGTGGTTACGGAGTAAAAAAGTGAAGTGTCGATACGATGCGTAAGAAGTTAATAACTGCATGTTCGTACGTCAGTCGACTCAGTCCAAAATGATTATGGTTAATTGTAGCATAACCTTGAGGTTTCTAAATATTGTAATTTAACCGCTAATTTTTTGGAATTATAGTGTGCGCCATAGACTTTCTAAACTTTCTAAAAATACCAAATTTTCACTTACCAAAGTGTGAAAAAAAGAAAAGAAAGAAAGTGTCTTTAACCTCTTGCAATATATATATATGTGTGTGTGTGTGTGTGTTGTGTTTTAAGTGACAAAGAGTAGTTGACAGATTTCACGATAAGTAACGTGAGAACCTACTAAAGCTCTCAATACTAGAAACGTTAGTATACTTGTTACGTGTGGAATGAGGGACTCAATAATAGTCATCACTACTGAATACTGATTATTGTTGGTCAGTCTCTCGAATACACTGCATGCAAGACAAGCAACCAGTGTGTTCTCTATTATTACTTGTCCTTAAGAGGAAAAAAAAAAAAAAACATTTGAGAGGGTTATTTTCAGATATACGTAAAAAGAATTATTAATCTAGAAAATTCGAGGAAATAACATTAATAAAGAAATAAGATAAACAATTTTTTTTTAATATAAGAATTATATATTAAAAAAAGAGGTGTGACAAAAAAGAGGTGGTGCCCTAAACCCTAAAAGAAATGTTCCAAAAATTAGAAATTAAAACTATTTATTATAATTAAGATTTATTTTTTATATAGTCAATGGAAACTTTTTTATAAACTTTTTATTAATGTTAGCCTATTCATGCAATATTGAACTACTTTTTGTGGACGAATTATATTGCATCGAATTTGACCTTTCTTGAATTAAATTAAACTAAATTTTTTACAGTCTATTTGACATTGAATAGGGCCGAGGTCAAATTGTAACTAATGAAATGAGTTATACATATACTGTTGATACTTGATTTTGACACCAACAACTTCACACATGCAAAATGCTAAGAAATTACACGTGAGCAAATTATAGTAAATAGGTGAGGTACTGTTTGCACAATAGTATGCAAATACGTAAAAAATAAAGGAGACAGTAAGTTTTTTATAGTGGTTCAGATGCTTAAAGCGAATCCTACATCTACTATATTCTTTTATATCAATCTGTTCCTAGTCGTTAGACAGAATTACAAGAGGTCGCGAACTGTGATCTGGTATTACAAATGCTTAGTGTTTTAAGTGTTCTTAGAGAATGTCAAACCAGTCTCTTTCTAGTAGTGTGTCTTTGCTATTTTCTTTGTTAAATTCAAGAGTGTTTGATCTTATTTTTGTGAGAGAGAGCTACCTATTTATACCTATTGTGCTCTACGTAATGATTATATTTTTACAAGTGGCCTGATTTTGTTCAAATCTCTGGTCGTTATTCATGACCTAGAAAACTTAGATTTTTTCATTGCTAGAGTTTTTGGACGATCTTATTTGGTGTTCATTTTGGCATTTTAAACAGATGTCTTTTTTAAACGACTTCTTCAGATGTTATTTGTCGCATTGACAGCTAGTACAACAATAAAATATTCTTTACCTTACAAATGTGTCACTGTATGCATTAAATGTTAGCCATGAACATTGTTTGTGTTGTAAACTTGTAATGTGCTAAATAATATTTCTAAAACAAGTGGTAGTATAGTATAGTCAATATTACTCACCCAATCTGTTGTAAATAGATGACTGTTATTGAAGAAGAGAAATGAAGCAAGCAAATATTTACTGTGAGTAAGTTATTTTTTGACAAATAAAAAAGAATATGCAATCACTTCAACGTTCAAGACAATGCAAAACGTAGTGTAAAGAATACATGGTTCAATTGAATGTGCCTGAGAGCAACAATTTGATTGATTTACAAATATTGGCTAGTTTCATTGATACTGACTGTTGGTGTTCATCTAATGATTCTTCATCGTCTTTGTCATTAAAATCATCATCGTTTTGGAATAGCAGATGAATTCCCTACTTTTTCAAAGTTAGACCATTAAAATATGGTCTCTCGTGTTGCAATCTGTATCTTGTCACCTTATTTGAGCATCAAAACCAGTTTGCCGAAGTCCACATATCGACACAAGTGGAGTTGATCTTCATCTATCTCCGGAACTTCCCTCAAATCTAGTACGGTAGTATAAATTGTAACATCCAGTCGGATTATCTTTGCGTGAATGTCAACAATTCCTGTTAGCTTATCTCTGAAAGCCTCCTGTTTAGTCTGACCAAGGGAGAAGACAACACCTATAATGATACCTTTGATTGAATGGTTTATGCGGTTTGCAAAACAAGGGATCTCTTGCACAAACTAGTCGTGAATTTCACTTCCTAGGACACTCAAATTGTGCAAGTACTTTAAAGCACCCTACATTAGGGGGTAGAAGCAGTGCAAGTCATTTCCATAAATTAACATCACATACATGTGTGCCTGTTTGTGTGTGTTGATGAGGGGAGAAAGAGAACCCTACCAAGTCTTCCCGTCATTTTTGGGAAGCATGCATCGCATCCACCCATGTATAACTTTGTCAAAGACTTCAAGCATTGAAGACCTGGGATATCTATGTTCTTGGTGCAATTTGTAGGATCAAACTCTAGTAAACTCGCCAAGATTGTCAGATCGGATATGCTTTCTAATGCAGTGCAGTTTGCCACATTCAATTTAACCAAACTTGAGGCAAGTAGAGGAAGAAACTTCAACTCTTTACAGTTGGCCAAAAGTAGATCTTTCAGATATGATAAACCTCTCAGACTATATGAGAGGTGGCAAAAATTGTTGTGACCCAGATCCAATTTCTCTAGTGATGACTGCTTCTCAAATTCATCAGGAATTGTATCAGATAATCTCCAAGCATGAGCATCCAAGTTGTTCAGCAAGGAGAGGTTTGATAAAGAAGATGGAAGAACACGCTTAAGGCTTTGTTGAGTATGAGTTTTTTTTCTCTTATTATTGTTAAGCTCGAAAGCATCCCAAATTCATCTGGTAAATTTTCTTGGTAAACGTTGCAGCTGCTTACACTCATTAATTCTCAATGTATTAAGTCTCTCCAACATCCCTATTAACTCTGTTATCATGGTATTATCTAAGACCAAAGAAGTAATATTCAACATCTTACCAATTGATTATGGTAAAGATTTGAGCGATTCACAATCTTCCATCTCAAGCTTCCTGAGCAAGTTCAAGGCACCAACCTGATCTAGGGCTTCTGTGATAGGAGTAACCCTCGACAGGAATTCAACTAATGATACTAGACCTTTAATGGAATCAGGTAGTTTATTCAGAGATCGACGATAACTAACTGACAAGCATTTCAAATGGGATAACAACCCTGTTATGCCTAAAAAATCACACTGATGTCAGCTCTACCTAAAAGACAAAGTGTACTAGCTGTCAAGCCCATACCACCTCAAAGATATTTTATACCAACCCTATCTCATTTTAAGATGAGGATGAATGAGAGCTCTCTATGTGTCAAGGCAGCTTGCAAAAACACTCATTATATTGACCTCAACGGTGTATAAATAGGAATCTCTCTTCATGAAAATATAAGGGCTGGGCATATGAGAGTTAGGCATATGAGAGCTTATTTTTCTCTGTAAACAAAATATTTCCCCATCTTTATATGCCTTACGGGCAATATTATGGAAATAGTCAGAGAATAACAAAATAACAATGGACGTAGGATTTACTTTGAGCATCCAAACCACTTTAAAAATCATCTCTCATTTATTTATTTCATTTCCCATTCACATGTAATTTCTAAGTTAGTTTAACACTTTCCACATGCAAATAGTTGGTGTCAAAATCTAGCATCAACAGTTTGGTGCTAGAAGGAGGGCATGATTCACATCAGCTCTCTATGTTTTTCCAGCAAGCCTCCAAATCTTCATGTCATCTGATGTGGAAATCTGAGTAGGTGAATCTGGTGATATGGTAAATTCAAGAGTTGTAGCTCTTGGAATTAGCTTTCCGATGGTCTAAGAATCATCAAAATCCAAGGTCTACATCTCATGTTATTGCCAAAATACTGAAGCATGTTCCACATCAGAGCTCTCCAATCGCGTGGCCAGATCACAGATCGCACGCTAAGATCGCTCTAATCTTTAGCTTCAGATTGCTGATCTTTAGCTTCAGATCATGTGGTCAGATTGCAGATAGCACGCTCAGATCGTTTTGATCTTTAGCTTCAAATCGCGTGACCAGATCGCAGATTGCACGCATGAGAGCTCTTCGATTGCATGGTCAGGTCGTAGATCGCATGATCAAATCGCCCTGATCTTCAGCTTCAGATCGCTAATCGCACGCTCAGATCGCTTTGATCTTTAGCTTTAGATCACGTGGCCAGATCGTAGATTGCATGCTCAGGTCGCACGCTCAGATTGCTCTAATCTCCAGCTTTAGATCGCGTGGTTAGATCGTAGATCACATGCTTAGATCGCTCTAATCTTCAACTTAAGATCACTGATCTAGCTTTAGATCGCGTGGCCAGATTGCAGATCGCATGCATCAGAGCTCTTAGATTACGTGGTTAGACCGCAAAGCGCACGCTCAGATCGCTTTGATTTTCAGCCTCATATCTTTGATCTTTAGCTTCAGATTGCATGGCTAGATCACAAATCGCATGCATCAAAGCTCTCGGATCGCGCGGTCAGATCACATACTGCATGCATCAGACTCTCCGATCACGTGGTTAGATCGCTCTGATCTTCAGATTCAAATTGCGTGGTCAGATTGCAGATCGCATGCATCAGAGCTCTCCGATCACGTGGTTAGATCGCAGATTGTA